TGTGGTGAATTATGTTTATAGATTTGTGTATGTTGAACTAGCCTTGCATCCCAGGATAAATTTTTTTTCTTCTTTTTTTTTTTTTTTTGAGACAGAGTCTCACTCCCGCTCCCAGGATCAATTGATTCTCCCGCCCAGTCTCATAAGTAACTGGGATTACAGGCACCCACCACTAGGCCTGGCTAATTTTTGTATTTTTTTTGTAGAGACGGGGTTTCACCATGTTGGCCAGGCTTGTCTCAAACTCCTGATTTACCCACTTCGGTCTCCCAAGTGCTGAGATTACAGGCGAGTGCCACCACCCCCACCGTATAACTTCAGTTTTTTTTTTTTTTACCAACTTTGATTACAAAACTTGGCACGACTTTAAGATTCCCATAATGCAAATTGTCCTCCCCAATTATAACTGCCAGTTTGTTTTTATCTAAGAAAAACAAAACAAGACAAATGAAAATTGAAATGCTGGTCATTTCTGTGGACAAAAACATAAGTGTGGCCGGGTGCGGTGGCTGATGCCTGCAATTCCAGCACTTTGAGAGGCTGAGGTGGGCAGATCACTTGAAGCCAGGAGTCTGAGACCAGCCTGACCAGCATGGTGAATCCCCCTCTCTATTAAAAATACATAAATGAGCAAGGCAGGGTGGCATGTGCCTGTAGTTCTTCTACTCAGGTAAAGGAGGCAGGAGAATTGTTCAACCCAGGAGGCAGAGATTGCAGTGAGCAGAGATCATGCCACTGCACTCCAGCCTGGGCAACAAGATCAGAACTCCAGCTCAAAAAACAAAAAAATGTAATGTGACTGCTATTTTCTTGTTATAATCACAGAGTTCATGTGGGAAAGCTAAGCAATATGAAAAAATACACAGTTAAAGTTTTAAAAAATTGCCCCACATTAGATCAGCAAATCTTTTTTCTTCTCTTGAGACAGACTAGGTCTTGCTGTTGTCCAGCTGGTGTGCAGTGGCACAATCACAGATGACTGCAGCCTCGACCTCCTCGGCTCTCCTGTCCTCCTGCCTCCCAAAAAGCTGAGACTACAGGTACACACCCCTACACCCAGCTATTTTTTTTTTTTATTGTTTTTGTAGAGGTGAAGTCTCACTATGTTGCCCAGGTTGGTCTTGAACTGCTGGCTTCAAGTGATCCTCCCACCTCAGCCTTCCAAAGTGTTGGGATTACAGGCATGACCTTATCTGGAGCCCGGGTCATTACAAATGTCATCAAGTTAAAATGAGTCATGAAGGTGGGGCCCTGATTCCATATAACTGGTGTCCTTACTAAAAGAAAAATTGTTGCCAGTAAAAGAAAAAGAAGGAATAAAGTATTATTTTCTTGAGACAGTCTTGTTCTGTTACCCAGGCTGGAGGGTAGTGGTGTGATCATAGCTCAATGCAGCCTCAAACTCCTGGGTTCAAGTGATCCTCCCACCTCAGCTTCCTGAGTAGCTGGACTACAGGTGTGTTCCACCATGCCCAGCTAATTTTCTGTATTTTATGTAGAGATGGTATCTCACTATGTTTCCCAGGCTAGTCTTGAACTTCTGGGCTCAAGCAATCCTGCCTCGGCCTCCCAAAGTGCTGGGATTTTAGGTGTGAGCCACTGTGTCTGCGCAAAGGTAAATTTGTACACAGACACAGACATGCATAGAAAGACAATGTTCACTATAAGTCAAGGGATGCCTGAGCCAGGAGAGAGGCTGGGACAGATTTTTCCCCAGAGCTTCCAGGGAGAGCCCGGCTGCAGACACCTGACTTTACACTTCCGGCCTCCCAACTGGGAGAGCACAACTTTTTATTTAATTTATTGATTTATTGAGACAGGGTCTCGCTCTGCCACTCAGGCTGGAGTGCAGTGGCATGATGTCAGCTCACTGCAGCCTCATTGTCCCTGGTTCAAGAAATCCTCCCACCACAGCCTCCAGAGTAGCTTGGGATTACAAGCACATGCAATCATGCCAGCTAATTTTTTTTTTTTTTTTTTTGAGATGGATTCTTGCTCTGTCCCCCAGTCTGGAATAAAGTGGTGCAATTTCAGCTTACTGCAACCTCCACCTTCTGGGTTCAAGCAGTTCTCCTGCCTCAGCCTCCTGAGTAGCTAGGATTACAGATGCGCACCACCACACCCAGCTAATTTTTGTAGAGACAGGGTTTTACCATGTTGGCCACACTGGTCTCAAACTCCTGACCTCATGATTTGCCTACCTCAGCCTCCCAAAGTGCTAGGATTACAGGTGTGAGCCATCACTCCCAGCCTTGTATTCTTTCAGTAGTGATGGGGTTTCATCGTATTGGCCTGGCTAGTCTCGAACTCCTGACCTCAAGACATCCTCTCATCCTCCCCAAAGTACAGGGATTACAGACGTAAGCCATGGCATCTGGCCTGAGACAACACATTTGTCTTGTTCTCAGCCACTTAGTTTGTGGCACTTTGTTACAGCATCCCCAGCAAAGTTATACCCAAAAATAATCCATTTCATTGTTAGAAGACACAGAAGCTCATGCCCTCGGTCACTCATGAATATGTAATTAGGTTTTGGCCAGGAACAGAGGCTCATGCCTGTAATCCCAACACTTTGGGAGGCTGACATGAGAGGATCCCTTGAAGCCCAGAGTTTGAGGCCAGCCTGGCCAACATGGTGAGATCCCATCTCCACACACACACAAATATTAGTTGAGCATGGTGGCATGCACCTGTAATCCCAGCTACTCAGGAGGCTGAGGTGGGAGGACTGCTTGAGGCTGGAAGTAAGAGGCTGCAGTGAGCTATGATTGTACCATTGCACTGTAGCCTGGATGACACAGGAAGTCCCTCTCTCTAAAAAAAAAAAAAAAAAAAAAAAAAAAAGGTGGGGGGCAGGGGTTTGATTTTGTGTTTTTGTTGTTTTTTGAGATGGAGTCTCATGCTCTGCCCAGGCTGGAGTACAGCGGTTCAATCTCGGCTCACTGCAACCTCCACCTCCTGTATTGAAGTGATTCTTTGACCTGAGCCTCCTGAGTAGCTGGGATTACAGGTGTGCACCACCACACCAGGCTCATTTTTATATTTTAGTTGAGATGGGGTTTTACCATGTTGGCCAGGCTGGTCTCAGACTCCTGATCTCAGGAGATCCACCCACCTTGGCCTCCCCAAGTGCTAAAATTACAGATGTGGGTCACTGAGCCCAGTCGATTTCATGTTTTGGCTCAGTTGGGTCTGGCAGGTGTGTGGTTAATAAACCAGGTCTAAATATTTCCAGGCTATCGGTGGCTTGGGCACGCACTGACAGCAATGTTGTGGGTGGTGGTATTGGCTTCAAACATGGATGAAAACAAGATCTGGTCTCCTTCTTTCACCCAGACGATGTTGACCAGTTGACCTAGGAGATAAAAGGACAGGTACATGAGGCCATGTGTACATCCTGGGAAAGGGGATGCCAACTGCTGGGACCCCAGCCCTTCTGCCACTACCCAGCCCACCTGGCCAGTGGCTCTTCAATGTTAGTTACAGCTTTTGAGAGTTCACTATTCAAAGAAGGATGAATCAAGAAAAGTACAGGGCTTGGGCACAATTCTGTTAAACATGACAAGGAATATGCTTTGGTTCAAGAAAACCCATGGCCAGTCATGGTGGTTCACGCCTGTAATCCCAGCACTTTAAGAAACGGAGGTGGGAGGATCACTGGAGGTCAGGAGTTCAAGGCCATGATGACCAACATAGTGAAACCCCATCTCTACTAAAAATACAAAAATTAGCCAGGTGTGGTGGCATATGCCTGTAGTCCCAGCTACTCGAGAGACTGAGGCTAGAGAATCCCGGGAGGTGGAGGTTGCAGTGAGTCAAGATCACACCATTGTTCTCCAGCCTGGTGACAGAGTGAGACTCCATCTAAAAAATAAAAGAAAAAATAAAATGAGAAAACCATGCATGGGGGTGCATGCCTGTAATCCCAGCACTTTGGGAGGCTGAGGTGGACAGATAACTTGAGGTCAGGAGTTCAAGATCAGCTTGGCTAACACGGTGAAACCTTGTCTCTGCTAAAAATACAAAAATGAACCTGGCATGGTTGCATGTGCCTGTAATCCCAGCTACTAAGTAGGCTTCGGCAGGAGAATTACTTGAACCTGGGAGGTGTAAATTGCAGTAAGACAAGATTACACCACTGCACTTCAGCCTGAGGGACAGAGCGAGACTTCCCCTCAAAAAAAAAAAAATTGTCAGAGAAGACCAAGATATCCACAGATAATGCACCGTGTCACTTTTCCTGCCTCTTGGTAGACATCTCCTAACATCACCATGAGATCCTGGTGAAGAAGGGGTGGATACTGAGGTTGCTACAGTTTAATGAACCATTTTTCCCCCAGAGAGAGATGCTCATCTTCTCTCAGATTCCTTTGAGTGTTTTTCCAACCCCTGCGGTGGGTGGTTTACCCTCAGGGCACTTCTCCATGAGGCTACCAGGTGATGCCATTGCCACATAAATGGAACAAACTGACCCAACATTAGAAAATAGCGTTCTACTTTCTTTGAGCTGGGTGGGGTGGGTCAAACCTGTAATCCCAGCACTTAGGGAGGCTGAGACAGCAGAATTGGTTGGGAAGTAGAGGTTGCAGTGAGCCAGGATCCCGAGTCTGCACTCCAGCCTGGGTAACAGAGAGACTCCATCTAAAAAAAAATAGTGTTCCTAAGGACTGAGAGGAGAAACTGAGGCATGCATACTGGAGTTGGGGTGGGGCTTGGTGAGAGAATGGGTTCAAGTAACCTGTGAAAGACTCTCAGAAAGTTAGAGCAACTTAAAAATTATTTATTTTACCTCCCACTTCCACATTTTCCAGATACAGAAACCAAAGCTGAGAGGGGGGAGATAAGCATCCAAAAGCACCACGTTCCTAGGGAGCAGGGTTGCCAGAGAAAACACAGGACATCCAGTGAAGTGTGCGTTTCGGACTCTCAGTGTATGTCTCAAATAATGCACGAGACTTAAATTATAACCTTATTCACTCTTTGTCTTCAAAGGTAACTGGGCATCTGTATGATGATTTGCTAAGTCTGACAACCCTCATGAGGGTAAAATGAAGATTCGAAAAATACTTAAATGTTAAGCAAACATGCAAAATGAGGACAACTCTGTTCCCATTTTGCAGACAAGGAAATTGCACATTAGGGAGGTGACTTGCCCCAAGGCCACACTCAGAAGTGTCAGAGTCGGATTTGAACCCAGTCCTGATTCCAGAGGTTTCAACTTTACTGTTGTGGCCAGAAACATGCCGTAGTTCTACTCCTGTGTGTGCATGTTCTGTCTTGAATATAACCCTCTCCCCATCGTGTAAGTGGGCCATTCCCCTCCCTGACATTGAAGGGCCCCGTCTTCAGCAGGTGCCTCCTGACCCAGCAGACCCCCATGAGCTCAGATCCCTGGGACCTGATGGCTGCCCTTATCACATTCCCTGACTCCGCATCTTAGGACCCAAGTCTGACCCTCTTCAGGATCTGCAGCTGTGTTACAGGAAAGGGGACCCGATCCAGACCCCAAGGGAGGGTTCTTGAATCTCGTGCAAGAAACAATTCAGCATGAGCCCGTAAAGTGAAAGCACATTTGTTTGTTTGCTTGTTTTGTTGTTTTCTTTTGCTTTGTTTTGTTTATGAGATGGAGTCTCACTCTGTTGCCCAGGCTAGATAGAGGGTAGTGGTGTGATCTTGGCTCAGTACGACCTACGCCTCTCAGGTTCAAGTGATTTTCCTGCTTCAGCCTCCTGAGTAGCTGGGATCACGAGTGCATGTCACCACACGTAGCTAATTTTTATATTTCTAGTAGAGACTGGGTTTCACTATGTTGGCCAGGCTCATCTTGAACTCTTGACCTCAGGTGATCCGCCTACCTCAGCCTCCCAAAGTGCTGGGATTACAGGTGTGAGGCACAAAGCAAGTTATTCTTTCCTAAAAAAGCAAGTTTTTTAGGAAAGTGACGATAAAATAACTACTCCATAGAGCAGCCCAGAGGGTGCTGGTGCCCATCTTTAGGGTCATTTCTTCATGACATGCTGAATGAGGAGATTATTCATGACTCCTCTTTTGTATATCATACAGGGAAACTTTCTGATGTTGCCATGGCATTTGTAAACCGTTGTGGCGCTGGTGGCAATGTAGCAGGGAGGACGAGCATAGGTCGCTCTGGTTGCCATCTTGGTTTTGGTGGGTTTTGGACTGGCTTCTTTACTGCAGCCTGTTTTACTGGCAAGGTCTCTGTGACCTGTATCCTGTGCTGCCCTCCTGTCTTATCCTATGACTCAGAATGCCTTCACCGCCTGGAAATGCAGCCCAGTAGGTCTCATCCTTTTTTTATCCAGCTCCTATTCAAGATGGAGCTGCTGTGGTTCACACGCCTCTGGCAGCTGGGCTCCTTGGGATCTCCTGATGTTCTGTCCCCTCTGTCCCCAGCTCCTGGGTCCCTCCACCATCGCTGTCTTCCTGAGCTGCCTGCCCCTGAGTTTCTTCATCACCAAGAAGAGGAATCAGTGTCAGGTTCGGCTTTTGGGAAAAAGACAAACCAGGCAGGAACTAGGGAGGAAGATCCAGGTCCTGGTGTGGGTAATGGGGAGAGCAGAGCTGAGTCGGAGCCGGCGGGTCTGGCTTTGTTCTTGTCTCAGTGAGTCGCCCATTGTGCAGACCTGCCCCACTCCTTCCCCATCACATTGGATGGCGGCTCTTTTCTCCAGTGTTCAGACCCCAGGCCCTGGGTCAGATCAATTCCTTTTTCTCCTGCACTCCATCAGTCAGCAGATTTGCTTGGCGTCATCTTGAAAATGCATCCCGCAGCAAGGCCCTGGCTCACTCCATACTTCTGCCCCAGCCTCTCTCCACTTCCAGCCACAGGAGACCTGTGTGAGCTGAATCCATTGCACTCTCCTCTGCTCAGGCCCACAGTGGCCCCATTTTTCTCAGTCTGAGCCAAAGGCCCCACAGTGGCCCACCTGGCCTGCCCTGAGCTGCCTCATTGCCTCAAGCCTCACCTTCCACTCATCTCCCTCCCTTTCCCACCTATCCCCCTTCCCCATCCTCACACCTGCCTGATGTTCACACATCTCTCCAGGAATCCGATTTACCTGTTTTCTCCACCTGGACCACCCTCACTCCAGAAGACCCTGGTCCCCTCCAGCACCCCCTACAGTCAGGGCCACCTCCCTTGCCATTGTCCAGCAAGGACACGGCCTGCCCATCCCTCTCCTCCCAGCAGCTCCCTTCCTTGGCCTGTCCTGGGTTTGTTTTTGCTTTTCTTCAGCACTTCCCACTTCCTAAAGGGCCCTGCAGGAAGCTCCTGGCAGGGACCAATGGCCTTGCTCTCCTTAGACTGCAAGCTCTGCAGCAGCACGGGCCACTCCCTGTTGCAGACTCAGTATCTAGTTAATGCTCGGCATGCAGAAGGCACTGGACCAGTGTTTGAGAACTACGGAAGAAGAGAGGGAGGAAAGAAGGGTCGGAGAGAAAAAGGGAAGAAGGCAGGGATGGGGAGAAAGGAGGGCGAAGAGGAGTGAAAAGGAGGGAGGGAAGGAAAGATAGGAAAGGGGAGGACAGACAAAGGGAAGGAAAGAGGTGAAAGAGAAAGAGAAGGAATGAGGGAGGGAAGGAAGAAAGAGAGGGGAAAGAAGAGGGCAGAAAGAAAGGCAGGAGAGTAGAAGAAAGGAGTAGGGAAGAAAAAGAAAAGCGGGAGAGAGGAAGGGAGGGAAGGGGGATGGAGGGAAGGAACTTATTTCCTCTCTAGGCCCAGCTGTCCCAATGTCCATCTGTCACTTGGACTGTTTCTCCAGCCGCCTGCGTGGCTTTCATCCAGGCCCAGTGACTCATGCCTGTGATCCCAGCACTTTGGGAGGTCAAGACAGGTGGATCTCCTGAGGTAAGGAGTTCAAAACCAGCGTGTCCAAAATGGCAAAATGATCTCTATTAAAAAATACAAAGATTAGCTGAGCATGGTGGCAGGCACCTATAATCGCAGCTACTCCAGAATCTCAGGCAGAAGAATCACTTGAACCCAGGAGGCAGAGGTTACAGTGAGCCAAGTTCATGCCACTTCACTCCATCCTGGTAACAGAGCAAGACTCCATCTCAAAAAATAACAAAATACCTTCTCGAGGCAGCTGTCTTCTGATAATGCTTCTCCCCCTGTGAAACACAGACCCCAGACTCCTGCCTGACCCTAAAGTGCCGAGTGACCCTGCCCATGCACACCGAGTGTCCTCTGAGTCATGCTGCTCCCTCTGCCTAGTGTTTGCTGCGCCCTGTCTCAGAGCCTTCACTCCCTCATCCTCTGCCTGCCCAGCACCCACGTCCTGTTCATGTAACATGTAGCTCAGGTTGTAATCCCAGCACTTTAGGAGGGCAGGGGCAGAGGGTCACTTGAGCCCAAGAGCTTGAGGCCAGCCTGGGCAACAGTGTGAGACCCCACAACTCCACCAAATATGTAAAAGAAAACAAGAAAGATGTAGCTCAGGCATTACCCACCTCCAGGCAGCCTTCCTGATGGCGCCATACCTAGGTGGGCTCGGGGGAAGCCTCTGTTCTCTGGGCATCAGAAGCGGCCTCCCCAGGGCAGTGGTCCCGGGTCAGCTCCTGCAGGAGTCCAGGCACAGGATGATGGTGGATGGATCAGGACTGAGGGTCAGGGATGCGGAGAGGCAGATAGCTTTGGGACACAGTTGTCGAGATCTGTGGGATTTGCTGCAGGGTGACTGTCAGGGTGCAGGGGAGAATTCCAGACCAGCCGTGTCTTCATCTCTCTCTTCCCTCCAACCCCAGGAGAGCAAATGAGGCAGAAGGACTGCGGGCCCGGCTCACCAGCTCCATTCTCAGGAACTCGAGGACCATCAAGTTCCATGGCCTGGAGGGAGCCTTTCTGGACAGAGTCCTGGGCATCCGAGGCCAGGAGCTGGGCACCTTGTGGACCTCTGGCCTCCTCTTCTCCGTGTTGCTGGTGTCCTTCCAAGCATCTACATTTCTGATCATGTCACTCTAGTCTCTCTGCTGAACATGACTGGGGAAGAAGTGTGGGGCTCAGGAGGTGAGGTAGGTGGAGCCTCCCAGATTTTACCACCTTGTCCATCAAAACCCACACATTCTGGATCCTGTTCTTTCAGGGTTCCTGCTGTCTTCCACGTGAATGAATGAATCACATCATTCTGGTGAAGGTGACAGCGGCTGGTGAGGCCTGCTGTTCTGAGAGTTCCAGGCTTCCATTGATGTAGGGAGGAGGGTTCAGGTGCAGACGGGCTGCAGAGGTAGAATCCAGGGTCTGAGTGGCTTTCCTGCTGCTGGCCAGCAAATGTCCACAGCCACCCTGTCACTGACGTGATCCTTGTCCTGCCATTCTGTCATTTATTTCCGATGGCTGTCAGAACACTTCCTAAAGCACAGTTTTCAGAAGAATTTAAACATGTTGATGCATAGTCCAGGCACCGTGACTCATGCCTGCCATCCCAGCTCTTTGGGAGGCTGAGGTGGCTTCAACCTGGTTGGTGGAGATTGCAGTGAGCTGAGATTGTGCCACTTCACTCCAGCCTGGGCGATGGAGCAAGACTGTGTCAAAAACAAAACAAAACTAAACAAAAGGACCACAAATGGGACCAACACCTAGGGCCCTCCCATGCTGCTCTCCCCAGGAGTCCCCAGGTTCAGCCCTCATGTCTATCACCTCATGTCTATCACAGAGGCCTTTCCTGACCACCTTTACCACCACCACAGCACCCCTGCTCATGCTAATGCACTCTAACCTGCACCTGATCTCTCTTTACTTTTTTATTTTTGAAGACAGAGTCTTGCTCTGTTCCCCAGGCTGGAGTGCAGTGACACAATTTTGGCTCACTGCAACCTCCACATCCCAAGTTCAAGCAATCCTCCCACCTCATCCTCCTGAGTAGCTTGGATTACAGGCAGGTGGATTACAGGCAGGTGCCACCACGCCTGGGTCATTTTTTCTTTTGTACTTTTAGTAGAGATGGCATTTCACCATGTTGGCCAGGCTCGTCTTGAACTCCTAACCTCAAGGGAGTTGCGGGAATTACTGGTGGGAGCCACCGCACCTGGCTGTACCCGCTTTAGATTTTATTCTTCATAGGGCTCTCCACCTGATGTGCTGTCTGTGTTAATGGTTTGTTTATGGATCGCCTGTCTCTTTCCCCCTCATTAGAATGATGGATCCATTAAGAGAGCAGCAACTATATTTTGCCCATTGCTGTTTCCCCAGAGCCTTGAACCCTGCCAATTATATAATAACCAGGCAGTAGTTATTCATAGAATAAATGAATGTAAGAATTAATAAATGGCCGGGTACTGTGGCTTGTGCCTGTAATCGCAGCACTTTTGGAAGCCGAGGTGGGTGGATTGCTTGAGGTCAGGAGTTTGAGACCTGCCTGGACAACATGGTGAAACCCCATCTCTACTAAAAATAAAAAAGTTAGCTAGAAATGGTGATGCATGCCTGTAATCCCAGCTACTCCGAAGTCTGAGGCAGGAGAATTGCCTGCACCCAGGAGGTGGAGGTTACAGTGAGTCGAGATCATGTCACTGCACTGTAGCCTGGCAGAAAGAGAAAGACTATCTGAGAAATAAATGAAAATAATTAAAAAAAAGAATGAAGGACAAGAAGGCCTAGATAGAAGGAATAAGTTACAGTAATCAATAGTGCACAAGGGAATTTACAGTGAATGAGAATTTATTTGAATATTTCAAGATAGCTAAAAGAGAAGGATTTTCATGTTCCCGAAACAAAAGATAAATATTTGAGGTGATGACTGTCTCAGTTACCCTGATTTGATTATTACATATTGTCTACAGCTGGGGTCTCCCACCCTCCTGGCCACGGATCAGTACTAGTCTGTAGCCTGTTTTTGGCTGTCTTTTTTTTTTTTGAGACAGAGTTTCACTCTATGCATCGGTACGATCTCAGGTAAATGTAACCTCCACCTCCAAGGTTCAAGCAATTCTCCTGCCTCAGCCTCCTGAGTAGCTGGGATTACAGGCATGTACCACCATACCTGGCTAATTTTTGTATTTTTAGAAGAGACAGGGTTTTACCATGTTGGCCAGGCTGGTCCCAAACGCCTTACTTCAGGTGATTCGCCCTCCTCATTCTCCCAAAGTGCTGGGATTACAGGTGTGAGCCATTGCACCAGGCTTTTTTTTTTTTTTTTTTTTGACTGGGAGTTTTGCTTTTGTTGCCCAGGCTGGAATGCAATGGCATGATTTTGGCTCTCTGCAACCTCTGTCTCCCAGATTCAAGTGCCTTTCCTGCCTCAGACTCCCAAGTAGCTGGGATTACAGGTATGAGCCACCATGCCAGGTTAATTTTTGTATTTCTAGTAGACACAGGGTGTCTCTATGTTGGTCAGGTTGGTTTCAAACTCCCAACCTCAGGTGATCCACCTGCCTCAGTCTCCCAAAGTGCTGGGATTACAGGCGTGAGCCACCATGCCCATCTCACCTGTTAGGAACTGGGCAGGCAGCACAGCAAGTGAGCAGCGGGCGGGCTAGGGAGGCTGTATCTGTGTTCACAGCCACTCCTTATTGCTGGCATCACCACCTGAGCTCCACCTCCTGTCAGATCGGTGGCATTGTTAGAGTCTCATAGGAATGCAAACCCTACTGTAAACAGCACATGCAAGAGAGCTAAACTGCGTGCTCCTTATGAGAATCCAATGCCTGTTGATCTGTCACTGTCTCCCATCAACCCCAGAAGGGACAATCTAGTTTCAGTAAAACAAGCTCAGGGCTCCCATTGATTCTACGTTACGGTGAGTTGTGTAAATATTTCATTATATATTAAAATGTAATAATAATAGAAGTAGGCCGGGCACAGAGGCTCATGCCTGTAATCCCAGCACTTTGGGAGGCTGAGGCAGGCGGATCACCTGAGGTCGGGGGTTCAAGACCAGCCTGGCCAACATGGTGAAACACCATCTCTGCTAAAAATACAAAAAGTGGCATGGTGGCAGGAACCTGTAATCCCAGCTACTTGGGAGGCTGAGGCAGGAGAATTGCTTGAACTGAGGAGCAGAGGTTGCAGTGAGCCACAATTGTAGCATTTTGAGAGGCTGAAGTGGGCGGATCACCTAAAGTCAGCAGGTCGAGACCAGCCTGGCCCACTGGTGAAACCCCGACTCTAATAAAAATACAAAAATTAGCTGGGTGTGGTGGTAGGAGCCTATAAGCTGAGTTACTTGGGAGGCTGAGGCAAGAGAATTGCTTGAACCCAGGAGGTGGAGGTTGCAGTGAGCTGAGATCATGTCCCTGCACTCCAGCCTGTGCAATAGAGCAAGGTTCTGTCTTTGTTTTTTTAAAAAAAAAGGCAAGCCAGTTACAATGGATTATATCTGTAATCCCAGGACTTTGGGAGGCCAAGGTGAAAAGATCACTTGAGGCTAGGAGTCCCAGGTAAACTGGGCAACATAGCAGGACCCCATCTCTACAAAACATTTTTTTAAAAATTAGGCACAGTGGCATGTGTCTGTAGTCTCAGCTACTCAGGAGGCAGAGGCAAGAGGATTGCTGGAGCCCAGGAGGTGGAGGCTGCAGTGAGCCATGCTTGTGCCACTGCACTCCAGCCTGGGTGACAGAGTGAGACCCTGTCTCTCAAAAAAAAAAATTCAGAATAGAGAAAGGTATGAATTGTAAGTTCAAGCATGCCACGTCCCAAATTTCCTGTAGGAGTATTGATGCACACCCCAAGAACTCTGCGTTTATTTCCCAGCGCTGCCTTAACAAAGTACCCTAAACTGTGTGGCTTCAACCAAAGAAATTTATTCTCACAGTTCTGGAGGCCAGGAGTCTAAAACCAAAAGATTTTTGATTGTTCTTCCTGTGAAGGCTGTGAGTGAGGATCTGTCCCAGATCTCGCTCATGGATTCTCAGAGCCTCCAGAGTTCCTTGGCTTGTAGGTGGTCTTCTGTCTCTGTCTTGACATTGTCTTCCCTTTGTAGGTGTTTTTGTCCACACATCCTTTTTTTATAAGGACACCAGGCACACGTGATTAGGATTCACCCTCATGACCTCAGCTTAGCTCAATCACATGTGAAGAGACTATTTCCAAATAAGGTCGCATCCACAGACCCTGCAGCGTAGGGCTTCATAGGGCTTCAGCGTCTTTCTGGGAGACACAGGACAATGCGTAACGCTATAGATTTGCATATATTTTTAGTTTGAGTTTCTGGATTTTATTTTCTCTTTTTCACGTCAAATAGGTGATGTGATGATACCGTAACAAGTTTTGAGGAAGGCACATATTATAAAATAGCCTGATAACCCAATCGTCATGCTTAGGTTTTGTTTTTTTAATTTTGATTTTAGTTTTTCTTGAGGCAGGGTCTTGCTGTATTACTCAGGCTGGAGGGCAGTGGTGCAATGATGGCTCACTCCAGCCTCGACCTCCTGGGCTCCAGCAATCTTCCCACCTCATCCTCCCAAAGTGCTGGGATTATAGGAATGAGCCACCACCCCCAGCTGTTCCCTATTTTTTGTTTGTACATTGTTCATTTTACTCAAAAACACACCTTTGCAGCTGGGCATACTGGCTCATGCCTGTAATCCTCAGCACTTTTGGAGGCTGAGGAAGGTGGATCGCTTGAGGTCAGGAGTTCAAGACCAGCCTGACCAACATGATGTAAGGCCTTCTCTACTGAAAATACAAAAATGAACTGGACGTGGTGGTGCATACCTATAGTCGCGGTGACTTGGGAAGCTTAGGCAGGAGAAACACTTGAACCCTGGAGGCGGAGGTTGCAGTGAGCCAAGTTCATACTACTGCACTTCAGACTGGGTGGCAGAGCAAGACTCTAACTCAAAAAATTATAATAATAATAATAATGAAATATATAAACACACACACACACACACACACACCTTGGCAATCTTTTTATATATCAGCATTCACTGGTACAATTTAAATTCTATGTATTAATCTAAATGAAATCTACCAATCTAAATACTATTCTATTAAATTCTACAACTGAAAACAATAGGCCATGAATTTAAGTGATTCAAAGTTCAAAAACTATGAAAGACTATAGAACTGAGTCTCCCATATGGCAGCCAGTGGCATATGTGTTTATCGAAATCTAAGTGAAGCCAGATATGGTGGCTTATGCCTGTAATCCCAGCACTTTGGGAGGCCGAGTCAGGTGGCTCACCTGAGATCAGGAGTTTGAGAGCAGCCTGACAACCATAGTGAAATTCCATGTCTACTAAAAACACAAAAGGTAGCCGGATGTGGTGGTGAGCCCCTGTAACCCTATGTACTTGGGAAGCTGAGGCAGGAGAACTGCTTGAACCTGGGGGACAGAGGTTGCGATTAGCCAAGATCATGCAACTTCACTCCAGCCTGGGCAACGGAGCGAGACTCCATCTCAAAAAAGAAAAAAAAATCTAAATGAATTAACATTAAAGAAAATGAACCTGTGCATACTTCTCGGCGTTCCCATATTGTATTCTTCAGTTCCATTAATTCACTTATATTCCTCTCTAAGTTGTCTATTCTCATTAGGATTTTGTCAGACCTTTTTTCAAAGTTCTTAGTTTCTTTACATTGGGCTACAATATGTTCTTTCAACTCACAGAAGTTTCTCATTATCCATCTTCTGAAGCCCGATTCTGTTAATGGGATGCGCTCATTCTCCATCAAGCCTTGTTCCCTTGTTGATGAGGAACTGTGATCCTCTTTAGAGGGAGAGGCGTTCTGATTTTAAGTATTCTCAGCCTTTTTACGCTGGTTTCTTCCCATCATTGTAAATTTATCCACCTGTTGTCTTTGTAATTACCAACTTTCAAATTAGGTCTCTGAGTGAACGTCCAAGTTGTTAATTCCCAGGGCTGAAATATGAGCAACCCACTGTGCCAGCCAAAACAGCGGCGTTAAGACTGATGGTGCTTTTCTGCCTGGGAATCTCCAGTCTGGCTTCCTACTTGAATCCGTAATAGGCGACTCTGCCTTCCTGGAGCTCCAAACCTCAGTCAGAAGGGGAACCAGTCCCGTTTACTTTGCACCAAGAGCTGCTGCACCGAGGTGCTGGCAAAACTGCTGCGCCAGCCACAAGAGTCGCACTGGCGACCCGTGCAGCTCCTCCACTGAGAATCTACTGCTCCGTGAGTGACCAAAATTTGTCTGAAAGTGTGGCATCCTCTCTTTCTCTGCGTTTTCACTGGGAGCTGCAATCCCAAGATGTTAGCAATCAGCCATCTTGGATCGTTCTAGAGAAAAAAGGATAAAAAGGAATGAGCAAAGTCTCCAAGAAATGTGGGACTATGTGAAAAGACCTAATTTACATTCCATAGGTATACCTGAATGTGACAGAATGAATCCAAGCTGGAAAATATTCTTCAGGATATTATACAGGAAAATTTTCCTAAACTAGCAAAGCAGGACAATATTCAACCCCAGGTAATACAGAGAACACCACAAAGATATTCCTCAAGAAGAGCAACCCTAAGGCACATAATCGTTAGATTAACCAGGGTTGAAATGAAGGAGAAAATACTAAGGGCAGCCAGAGAGAAAGGTCAGGTTACCCACAAAGGCAAGCCTGTCAGACTTACAGCAGATCTCTCGGCAGAAACTCTACAAGCCAGAAGAGAGTGGGGACCAATATTCAACATCCTTAAAGAACAGAACTTTCAGCCCAGAATTTCATATCCAGCCAAACTAAGCTTCACAACTGAAGGAAAAATAAAATCTTTTATGAATAAGCAAGTACTCAGAGATTTTATTACCACCAGGCCGGCTTTATGAGAGCTTCTGAAAGAAGCATTACACATAGAAAGAAACAACCAGTATTAGCCTTTCTAAAAATATACCAAAAAGTAAAGAGCATCAACATAAAGAAGAATTTACATCAACGAATGGATAAAACAGCCAGTTAACATCAAATGGCAGTAATCCTAAATTTAAATTGACTAAATCCCGAATCAAAAATACAGCCAAAACCCAACAGTATGCTACATTTAGACCCATTTCACATGCAAGGATACAAAAAGACTCTAAACAAAGGGATGGAGAAAGATTTACCAACCAAATGGAGAGCAAAAATAAATAAATAAATAATAAATAAATAAAAAGCAGGAGTTGCAATTCTCATATCTGATAAAATAGATTTTAAAGCAAGAAAGATATAGTGGTAAAAGAATCAATGCAACAATAAGAGCTAATGATCCTAACACCCAGATACATAGAGACTTAGACTCAATGAGACAGAAAATTAATAAGGATATAAAGGACTCAAACTCAGATCTGAAACAAGTAAATTTAATAAATATTTATAGAGCTCTCCACTTCAAATACACAAAATATACATTCTTGTCAATACCACATCACACCTACTCATAGGTTTAAATGAAATGTTGATTGGCCATTATTAATACCCATTTTTTTTTTTAGAATAAAGCAACATTTCTGTTCTCTCGCCCTCTTTTTCTCCCTCTTTCTTCCTCTCCTTCACATTTTTTTTCCTTCTCTTAAAAAAAAAAGAAAAAGAAAAATCAACTTGTAGACCTCTAGATCCAGGTCAGCAATGTCTCTCTCATTGCCTGATTTTCTTCCTTCCTTTCTCTCCCTTCCCTCCTCCCTCCCTCCCTTCCTCCCTCCCTCCCTTCCTTCCTCCCTTCCTGCCTTCCTCCCTTCCTCCCTAAAAAAAAAAAGAAAAAGAAAATAAAGAATTTGGTTCTTTGGCTTCCTGGGCCAAATTTCAGGTGCTCCACAGCTGCAGATGGCCCAGAAATATGGTCCTCATTGCAAAAAGTTCTATTGGTTGGTGTTGGTGCAGCCTTAAAGCCACTCTCCCACCTTTCCTCAAAACCAACCACTATTAGGGTTTTTTTGGTGATTCCTTTCCGAGATGATCTATGCACAATCAGCACGTGGACTTAATATATCCACCTAAAAAAATCAGCGTCTCCCGTGTAGTTTGAATGATCATGTACTAGTCCATGGAATGGAATGTATTCAGCTAGTTTCATAATGAAGTGCTCTTGAGTTTTTCCCAGGTTTCCTGTTACAATTATTCTGTGGTGAACACCATTCTCTCTGCAGAGTAAATTCTTAACAGTGGAATTCCCTGGCCACAAGGTTTATATGTTTTTCTCATTTCTTTTCTTTTTCTTTCTTTATTCTTTTCTTTCTCTCCCTCCCTCTATTCCCTCTTTTTTCCTTTTCCTACTTCTTTTCTTCCCTTTTCCCCCTCTCTTCCCCCACTTTTCTCTTCTTTTACAAGGTCTTCTATTTAATGGCATAATTCTAAATCACTGCAGGCTTGAACCCCTGGGCCCAAGCGATCCTCTTGCCTC